GTGTGTGTGTGTGTGTGTGTGTGTGTGTGTGTGTGTGTGTGTGTGTGTGTGTGAGAGGTGGGGGTGGGGGGCGGGGGGGTGTTACATGGCCAGGTGTGATTGTGTGTCTGTGTAGCAGCCCATTCTGCCTGGGGCTCTTGAGAACTTCGAGCCTAACAAATGAATAATAACACACTTGCCACCCCGTTGACATCACAAGGTTCCTGTTTAGGACTGTCATTACGACAGGAATGTGAACCTGCTGTCAGTATTAGTAAAAGTAATCACCGTGAGGAGAGTAGCAATTGAGAAAGGTGGTCTCACGCTCTATTTTCCTCCCCCCTTCAGATGACCTGACTCCCTCCATCATGGCAGCCAGACCCTCCATGGCCCTGGCGTTGGGGCAACAGCAGGTGGCGGGCCTGGCGCGCGCCGCCACGCTGGAGCAGCTCAGAGAGAAGCTGGAGACCACCGGGGGCGGCGTGGCAGAGGGCCCCGAGAGGAAGATGGCGCGCCTGGCCGAGGAGCAGCAGCGCCTCATGCAACAAGCTTTTCAGCACAACTTGCTGGCCATGGCCTCACAGATGCCCATGAACCTGCGCCTCGGGGCCCCCGCTGTCACCCCCAGAGGTCAGTGCCCTCCCACCACTATTCACTTGTCGAACCTCGGAACTGATGGGGAAAAAATGAATGAGCAGGGTTTTTGGTGTTTTTTTTTTTCAGATGAGAAGCAGCAGGACATGTCTCTGAGCATCTCCACCAATGGCAATGCCAGCATCACTGTCTCTGTGGAGGTCAATGGCACAATGTACTCAGGTGGGTACCACCTTCTTTAACGTCCAGTTGCAGTCTTGAGTGACCAAGCCCTGCCTCGAATAGCAAAAAATTATTTAAAAAAAAAACAACTTTGTGTTCTATGTGTATTTAAGTTCTCATTTATTAAAATACTGATTTGCATGACTACAGTCAATGACAGACAGACAAGGGGACTGGTCAGGCTTGCGATTTGAATGCACGGCTGCAAGTTACACAAAACTGGAAACGGGTGTACTTATTGTTATCTACAACAATGTGACATCACAGCGTTATGTGCCAAGAGTCCATTCCTTGTAGATGCCACAAGATGACGTAAATCTCGACTTTTGTCCATATGAAGCACCTCAACTTACTTCCAATATAGTTTCTAGGCACCATGATGACGGCAAAGCACTACTTTAGTCTAAATGAAGCTCATTAACATCACACTTGAGACGAAGTAAAAGTACTCGTGTCAGAAAAGACACTGGTAAAAAGTACTCATTCAACTCCTGGACTTAAAGGGGAAATCAAGTAAAAAATGTGTTTTACAATAATATGTTTACTAGCCTAAAGGCGGCATTCTGATTAATACTGCATTTGTAGAATATGAATTACACAGGAAAATCCATCCATTATCATCCATCTCATTGGGCGGCCTTTTTGCCTGGTGCTGCCACTTGCTGTCGACTGAAAATGGCCTCACAGTTGCTCAGGGCTCAGGTAACGACCAGTCATGGCTTACCTGTTTTCTGAGGTGGGTCATATAATGTTGGCAAGCTCAGCCGTGATTAGTAAGAAAGTTCCATCCGCACAAGTTTTGCTTCATCCGCATCGCCCAGCATGCACTTGCGCATTACGTTGTGAACTGCATTGACTATACAGTATATGGAAACTTGCCGACAGAAAAGCTCAGCTCGCGTTCAGTCTTTCACTTTCCCCCAGTATACTAAAAGCAAGCCAAGCTAGTGAGCAGTAGAAAAGTGTCAGTGATCACATTCCAAGCTGCCATTTTGTTCATGTGATGATGTCACGTATTACAGGAACACTCTTTGCCCAGAAGGCCGGAGGCTTGCTGGGGCCCACAGTGTCCACTGCCGCCTCGGCCTCCACCAGTGCTGGCTTTGGCTTCTCCGCACCCCCGAGGCAGACCCTCAGTCCCACGTCGTCCTCCTCCTCCTCCTCCTCCAGGGCCCCTGGTTCGGCTGAGCCGGCTCCCAATGGGTCACCGTAACTGGTCCCTTCCTGATGCCCCCCCCCCACCCCCCCAAAAAAACATCCCCTCTCTCCCCCATGCCCCGGGCCCAGCATGAATATTCTGTCCTGTGAGAAAGATTACAGACTGTTGCACAACAAATACCTCATGAAGCCTGTCCACCTCTTGGCTGTCCAATCGTGAACACAAAAGCTCAAGAATAGAACATGACAACACAACTATGCATTTCACACGCACGCACACATATACACAACACATACACACACGAACACAAACTCATGCTAGACACAATCAGCGCAGCCAAAAACCCATTGACAGGTGTCGTCACAACTGAACTTGAAAAAATCTTTTTTTTTTTCTCCATTTTGTCATCTTTATTTTTGATTCTGTATTTTTAGAATGATTTTTTTGCTGTTTTTACATACCTCAATCACCCAACCTGCAGTGGTGTTTTTTTTTTTTTTTTTTTTTTACCTCAGGAGCTCAACCGCATTTAACCTCAATGTTTTCATATGCTGTTTTTTTTTTTCTTTAACTTTTTTTTTCTCTTTTTGAGTCAGGTATTTTTTTCCTCAAGTGGATGATGGGACGCCATAATCGGCACGGGTGATTTCAAGGAAAAAAAAAATGAAAAAATACCTCATGGTCCTTCCCTTTGAAGTGTGGTGGGGGCGGCTCACGTCGGAAATGTGCGACGGAACAGATGGGATACTGCCCCACTTCGTTGGACCATCCTCAAAATACAAAATGGTGTCCCTCTCTCAGGTATTTGGGGAAAGAAATCAAATATGCTCCCACCAGACCCCTACAGACGAACTTGGAAAAAATACCTCATGAGACTCTCCGTGGAGAGCCACACTGCATATACCTCATAGGGCAATCGTGATGGAAGAAGCCCCCACAGCCGCTGCCCCTCCCTTCCCCAAGAAGTGGGAACTGACAAAGAAAATGTCTACTGCTTCTGCTGCTGGTTTTTGTAACACACACACACACACCTCATTTCTCTTCCTTTTTTAATTTCAGTTGTACCACTTTTTTGGGTGGGTTGGGGGGGTCTTTTCCATGATTAGACCTTGGCTAGGAATGTTGTTAATTGGGGTTTCTTGTTGCATGCGTACAATCACATGAACTTGAACTGATTTTTAGCCTCCGTTTATTATTGCACAGCTACTAGATACCAAAAAAGGTGGTCGCCGTTGGTTTCTAATCTAATGTACAAGGCATGGAGATGCTGGAAAAAAAAAAGCTTTATTAGATTTTTGTCTTTCTTCCTGAACACAGTTAGTGCTTGGCTATTGCCTCCGAAAATGTGGTGGGGGCGGGGGAACAATATGCAGAACAGTGACAAAATAGCCGCCTCACAGCTGTAGCCAGTTAGCTGACATCAGTGTAGCATCTGGTGTGATGTAGAAAATAATTGTGGGACAATTGCCTTCAACACAACAGGCGGGAGAAAGTGTGCATCCATTATGGCGTTTCCATAGACACGATTTTCACACAGCATCATGACATCCTGAATTTGGATTCTTAGTACTAGATTAGCTTGTTTCCCTCAGTCTGTGTTGATGCCATTACAGAGCACATTGAGGTTATGAATGGGTCAACCAGATCAGAAGCATTTAGCCGCTTTTTCATCAGAACCAATCCTTGAGATTTTGTCATCGACAACATGAGAGGAGAAGTGTGTGTAACACTTGAAAACCACGTTTACCCATAACGGTGACACTGTAAAAAAAAATAAATAAATAATAAAATGCAGAAAAATCCCAGGTTTCTTGTAAAAGGTGCTACAGGCAGTTTTCAGTGCTTTATGACAAGCCGTTTCAGCATTTATTCATTTTCCTTCTCGTGTTGGATTGTCTTACTAGAAAGGAACAAGAGCGTACTAGTACTTGGACCTTAAATTAATAATTGGTCAAGCAGCTTTCCATTGAGTGGGATTTGGAAATATCCTTTGTTTCGTTTCCACCTTGAGAATGTCCCAGTGTGTCCTGCAGAGGGCAGCATTGTTGCCACATAGACTCTGCAAGGGTATTGTACTACTAGTGAGCATTGCTAGGCGCTGCCTTAAAAGACAAGTTTGTATCAAATATTAATAATAATGCATCAGATTTATATGGCGCTTTTATGTAACACACAATGATGAATCATTTATTCAGGTGGGCATCATGTACACATCACATTAGTTTGGTATTTATTTTTTCCTTTTTCACAACCTAATGGATCTTGTAGGACCGACACGGACAGATCCTTTAGAGCGGCTCTACTAAAAACTTTTTGGGCCTAGAATGACTGTTTGCCGGTGTGTATGTGTGGGCATGTGTGATAAAGTTCAGATACATATGGTCTGTAACACACATTAGCATCTTTGCATTTCATACGGGGTTCAGTTTGGCAATGATGAGCACCCGGTTTGCTGACAATCCTCCAAAAAGCTGCTAGACAGCTTTTATCCTGCTTTGTGTATGCTAATGTATAAATGAGTTTGCCATCAGTAGTGTTGGTACATGTCATGTTTGGCGATAATCCCACAAAAATCTCTCCTCTCGACATTCTGGGATTTGAACGAGCAATTCTTAACATTAGCTGATGAGCTGGGTGATACCTGTGTGAACAAGTTCTGGTTCATACCTTCGCGTCATTGCCACTGGTGTATGTCCACTTTGCCGACAATCCCCCCCAAAAGCCACGAAAATCTCTTGACTGATTTGGCGCATGCTATAAATTTAAATTGTTCTGCAACATACAGTAGCATCATTAGCATTGATGTGGGTGGAGTTTAGCTCCTAAAACCCTCCGGTTTGCTGAGAGTCCAACAAAAAAGCTGATGGTGGCTATTTTCTGCTGTCCAGGATTTGAACTAGCACTACTTCACATGAGCTGGGAGCAATTGTTAGCAATGATGTCTGTGTGAACAAGCTCAGCTACACACTTTAGCATCATTAGCGCTGGGGTACGTCCAATTTGCTGACAATCGCCCCCAAAAGACACTAGGATCTTAATGACTTCGGGGGATTATTTTACTAGCACCTCCTCTAGTTTACATGACATACTCTGTTTGTTATATTTTTTCTGCAATAAATTAGCATCATTAGCGTTCACGTGGGTGGAGTTTAGCACCTAAAAACACTCACTGCCAATAGTGGCTGTTTTTTTGCTATCAGGGATTTGTACAAGCAACAATTCCTGCTAGCTGACTAGGGGATGCTAATTTTATCGACAAAGTGTGTGTGAACAAGTTCCGCAACCTTAGCATCATTACTTAATTACTGCTAAACGCCAATTTTGTTGACAATCCTCTGAAACGCTACTGGCGTCTCTTTTCGATTATCTGTGATGCGAACTTTCCACTAGCCAACTTGCTAATGCACAAGTGATGCCACTTTATGCTTATTAGGTGCAGTCAGACTTTGTGATACTGTCACTTCCGATAGTAGAAGATACTGGACGGAAGCTAGCATTAGCATTCAAGGCTAGCTCAATCTAAGTGAATGCGGCTGTCGTGATATTTCTGACATCATTTAAAAAGTGCTTAAAAAAAAATACCCCCAACCCCCTTTTTCACACCACAATACCTCAATGCGGCTAGCGAGAACATTCAAGGTAAACAACAAGGAAAGAAACAGCGCCGCGGCTTGGCTGAATGCTACTTAAGACTGACTGTTTGCTGTTCCATTTTGGGAGTTTTTGTTTGTTTCTTTGTTTAGTCGGCAGTAACTGCAGTCGAGCTCATCACACGGGAAGCTGTCAAGTTCTGCACGTTTAAAAAAAATAATAATTAAAAGTGGGGGGGAGTTAATTTAGCTTTAAGATAAAGAACTAACCTGATCTTTGTTTCAATAAAAAATTGTAAAAATTAAAAAAAAAAAAGCAACGAAAATATATTAAATGAAAAAAATCAGCGCATTATGCAAAATGGTTATCAGATACCTCATTTATCAATTTTCTTTGATGTTGTCTTTGGCTTGTACAATGCTCCGTATATTCTTTCAACTGTGGGGTTTGTGCATATTTTTGTACTGTTGTTATGCGGACATGATGATGATGATGATATGACTTCTATATAAATATTATAGTTTTTTTTTCTCTGATTCAAACAACAACAAGGAAAAAAGAAGAACGTGGACAAAACGGCGGTGAATGCTTGTTAAAACGTTTGTTTTTTTGTGCTGATTGTATTTAAGAGGAGCACTTTTTGGCAAAGTGGTTTTCACACATTCACTTTTGTTCATATGGTTAGTAATATAAAGACGTGGTTCTCAGGGCTTTAAACTTGTTTGTCATGATAAAGTTTTACTTTATATCTTAATTCCATTTCTGGCCTGTGTCTTTATTTTAGAACACACACTGTGTGTGTGTGGGGGGGGGATAGAACACGAATGGTGATGTCCACCACTGGGGGGAGTGCTAAACGTAAAAACAAATTGAAATGAGACTTTCATTCCAAGTGTAGTACTGTAAAGTGTCCTGTTTAAACGGAATTGGCCGACCATCGTGGGCCCAAAAACTAATTCTTATTTTTATCTTCCACAAAAGCATCGCTTATCATCGAAAACGAATGCTGAGCGAAAGAGTACGTGCGTGCGTGCGTGTGTGCGTGTGTGTGTGTGCGTGCGCGCGCGCGGTGGGGGGGGGGCCTCAGATTATGCAATTCAACGTCACTGTGTCAGTCCCCTTATTTTGAAATCTCCCTCCCGAGGTGTCGCGTTTCTTCACGTGACGGCAGAACTGTTGGGTGACTTTACGGAATTGTAGTGCAGCTATTTGTCAAACAAATGTCTATTTACGGAGTAGCTATTTCACATATAATAGAGATTACGCGGAGAATTTTATTTAGCAGAGTTTCTCTTTTTTTTTTTTTAAACTCGCTTATCTTAGACGTTAGCTGTCCGTCTGTACTCGCTTTTGCTTATGGTAGTAACGTCACCTTTAGAGTGATTGATTCTCAACCCTTCGACACCTTGAGGGACATCCATCAATCCATTATCCGAGCCGCTTATCCTCACGAGGGTCCGCGAGGGACACACACGTTCAATTTATGTTTATTGACATAAGCCTTCAACATGGTCATCCCATCAAGGTCCGTATTTTAAAAATTGAGTTGGTCAGACTTACACCTTTGTTTTGAAGCCATGAGACCACACCCGGAAGTCCGAAGGCCGAAGCTGGCATGGCGTTTGACACACAAGGGGGAGGAGTAGGTGGAGGAAGAGGAGGGCATTCCGCGTTTGGGAATGGCTGTGAAGACCGCCGCCGGGCGGCGGGTGCTTTTTTTCCGCTTGCCTCCCCGTCGCTTCTCGGTGTTGTTGAACGGTGCCAACTAACCTGATGAGTCCTACGCGCCGGGTTTACCGCAAAGTGACTTTCGTCTGGAGATGTTATTTGGGAAATAAGCAACAATGACCGCCTTCCTGGCTCGGCTGGGTGACTTCGGCGTCTCCTCGTCTCGTTTTGGCTAGCATGTTTTTTTATATGCCTGTCAAATTAGCTTCTGGTATGCTACACGAGGTTAACCCCTCTTTCCCCATTTATTTAATTAAAGTCTCACTTTTCAGCCTGAGTGGATTTACTATGATTAAAAGAAGAAATTAAGTGGTGGTAGAAAGCTTCCTGTGAGATATCTCACTCCCCAGCACACACCCGTGGTCATGCCCGATGTGTGGAGCAGCAGAGCCGGGCGAAGCTAGCTGGCTGGTAGCGGAACAGCCAGCGGTAGTTTCGGTATTTGGATGATCGTGACGCCGAGGACGAGCTGATTGGCTCGGCTAAAAGCAGTAAGCATGGTCGAGCCCAGCCTGGACGACTCCAACGTCAAGGTGGCGGTCCGCGTTCGGCCCATGAACAGGAGAGGTGAGCGACACTTCCATTAGAGAAAAGCGTTCTTTTATATTGGCAATTCCCTGTCAGGGTGGATTCGCCAATTGACAAGTATGTGTCGTAATGATTACCGACCCCAAGGGGGTTTGGTTGTCATCGGCGTGCTTTTGGACGAGTTTACTACGGCACACCACCAAATAAAACATAAAAAAGGAACGGAAACACAAGTTGGTTATGTATCTTCTACCATTTAATAAAAAAAAAAAAAAAAAACATTTCGTTGCCCTGCCGATCTCTATACGTAGGTGGCAGAGATAGGTGACAGACACATTATTTGTTGGAAAAAAATAATTTGCTACTCATGTGCTGTGGCACAGTGGTTGGGATTCACTGGCTACCATTGTCAGCCTTATGAGTAAAAGGTGAAAATACTGTCTCACCAGAAAAACTTACTCGAGTACTTTCCGTAGAGAGGGAAACCAGTAGGCGATATTTGGGAACACAGTTTGGCTTCAAAACTGTGATGGAAGATGCATATAGTGGTCATGATTAGGGATGTCACAACACAATATAAAGACATGAACATAACGTTACTGTAATTATGACAACATTGGGAGGGGCAATATAAAAAAAACTGCATACAAAGTCGTAATACTGTTTGAAAATTGCTCATGATACTGAAAAAGCATCATATTGTCTTTTTGTGCAAAACAGCAGTGACAAAGAAATAGGCTTGGCCAGTCCATTTACAGTATTGTCATATTGGCTCAATGATACGAAGTACAATGTTCAATGTAGTTTATAATGCTGTGTTTGGTTGCAGCGGGTGAAAAGTAATGTTTTTTTTTTTTTTTTTTTTTACAGAGATATATTGCTTTTAATATCGTAGCATTACGATGATGTCGGGGCAAATTTAGTGTTGCAATATTGCCGTTACATCCCTAGTAATTATGCCTTCCAGGGTTGAACTTTCGACGTTGTTAAACCTATTTTCTAATATTGTAGCATTTTAACAATGGCGCAAGTATAACCCAGGACATACTCACACATGCATGACACGGCCAGAAATATGGTTGACTTCTAATATATTTGCTGGATTTGAAACCTTTCCATGATCATACGAGTATCTAAGGAAGCTAACAGATTTGAACGTGGCAGGTTAGTGACAAAGTAGATGAGTAGATGCATCACGGGAAATAACATCAGGTAGCAAAAATGATCATGGTTAAATAAATAAATCACACTGGTAATGACAATTACAATCATCCAGAGTAAATAAAGCTTTGGTCTTGTGCTCTCGTTCTGCTGGCCGTTATGACTCATTATGCCAACTCAGCCGGGCCTCTTCTGAAGGGACCCAGAGCCAAATTGCCACAATATTTCACCCCTGGCTTTCGGATGAAGGCGGTGACCATATCAATGGAATGTTCCGCCTCTTTTTTTTTTTTTTTTAGAGAGAGGTGCAAAATGATGCCATAATTTTACATTTGGAACCGTCGCGAAACAAAATGCACAGTGCATGGAAACCCTAATTACATACGAGCAATATGGCCAAACAATAAAATCTTCAATTTATTTCCACAACAATCAGATTTTCCATTTTAATGTTTTTTTTTTCCTTCTGGTATTTCCTCCAGGAAAGCAAATTAAAATCACATTTTTCAAAAGAAGTTGAGATTTTGTGTTGTACTTTCCCCTCTGGTATTTATTTGTCCTGATACCAAGCCAGTCTTTTTTCCCCCCCAGCAATAACTTGCCTGGCCACAAGTTATGGAAATAATTTGTTTTTAATTCATACAGATAATGAGAAAATAAATGCTTCTTCTCGGTAAAGTCTGGTATATGTGAGTACTAAGTAAAAAAACATTTTGAATATGCAACATAAAACGAACTGTCAAATTGCATGGCTTATCTCTCTCCTAGTCTTTCTTATGTGGAGATGTTATGACGAGGTGAGATGGTCCGTTTTTTTTCAGCTTGGAAGCACATGGAGTACAATGGGTTAAACGTTTCCAACGTGGATAAATCCTTCCTTTAGCGACATGTAAATGGGCACTTTGTATTTGGGTAGGTTCAGTGAGACAGGTCTTCCTCCTGGCTCCTTTCTCCTTATCTGCAAAACAATGGGAAATTGGTTACGCTCATTTTGTTTGTTTCTTCACGGAAATGTAAGTCACCCGTTGATTATAAATTAATAATTTTTAAAAAGTCGCTTGCAGGGATGGAAAAAGTTGCTAAATAGAATGACCAAAACACTGAGTTGGCAACATTGACCGCTTTTGTAAACTAGATCTTCTCAGTTCCCAACTATGTTGTTAAGTTAAGCAGTGCATGTCAGTGAATAAAATACTCCAGACACCTTCAAATTGAGCGATAAAATCCATGAATCACCCAGCCATAGTTACACGCCTTTTTTGTAAATGTCTTCCCCACATATTTCGATTAGTGTACTGTCTGGTTATTTTATTATCAGCAAAATGTTGAGACTATACCATACTGTTAACTCTGCAAGTGCCTGGCTCTAGTTTTCCAGCATCACCTGTTGCTTTGGCATGCGCTTGACAGCCTGCAAATGTGTTTGGATGTGATTAGTGGCTATCCCTTTATTTATTTATTTGTTTATTTATTGTTAATTTAATTTATTGTCTTACCCAAATGAAGGCAAAAGACCTCTTGACACACAATCGCTAGTAAATCGGCAGCAACAGCTGCTCGGGGCGCAGTGCAGACGACACTTTTAGTGCCCGCCGCGCCCTCCCCCCCTCCCATTTTTGTCTTCATTAAATCACATCAGCCGAATCACGCTGTCGTGACTGGCCAGCTGCCAACACCGCCGTTGCTTAAAATCAAGGAGGAGGCATCATTGGCAACTGGGGCTGAGCGACGAACTGAGTCAATGTGTCTAGACATTCCTCCGGTATATTTCGCGCAGTCACTCCTCTTAAAGCAAGCTGTGAGAAAGCTGGTCACGAGGAAAGACCAGCGACAGCTTGGGCCACACGTGCCACTCACACTTGATCTCCAGTTACCAGTAAGATGTAGGATTGGGGGAGTGGGGGGTTCTCGGTGCACGACAGCCTGACAGCTGAAGTTTTGAGACAACACAAGGAACTCCAGTGGTGCCTTGTGGAACGGGTGACTCAGCACAACATCAGTCTGTCAAGTCATCGAAGTCGCACAACAGCATACGCAGATTTTGGAACTCGGTGCATACACAAGGTATTATTAGGCGCCCCGTCCATTTTGGAGAAAATTAGAGACTTTTGTGCGTCTTATGGTCATGAACATACAGTATGTTCCCTTTCAAGTCGTGAAAAGTAAAACGTTCATTGTCCACTCACCCTTTCAATGGCTATTATTTTTTTGTCCTGGTGTGTTTACAGAGAAGTCCAAACAGTTCACACACTGATTTTTCCCAGTGACAAATGTTTCGTGACTCGCCGCGCATGTTCATTTCATTCCGAATAGTTTCTCCTGAAAGAATACTTGCTG